GGTAACCAAAAATTTTACCTGTTTTTTTAAAAATTAAAATAGAAAAAGTTTTTTTTGCAAAAGGCCTCGAGAAAAAAAAAAAAAAAAAAAAAAAAAAAAAAAAAAAAAAAAAAAAAAAAAAAAAAAAAACCATCATAATTGACATAAGGTATCGAAGTAAATTGAAAAAATTGAAAAAATTGAGTTAATTCTGAAATTCCAGTTAATATAAAAGCTAAAAAAGTAAGAATTACAAAGGGGCTGAACAGCTTTTGAATTCCCCAAATTCGGGAAGGGAACAGAAAAACTTGATACTTGAGAATTGCATTACGAATTATGCTAATGGATGGCGATATATTACAATTTTGTAGTTGGTATTGTTAAAAAAATTTTTTTCCCATGTGGCGTTTTTCTTTAAAAGGATTAATGTTTTGAGACCCTGCACCATTGTTTTGATGCTGATCGAATTCTGACGTTCATGTAGCTTCTACGAGAATAATATTAGATTAACATTGACGTTTCAATAGTAATTTAGTATAGTATTTAAGAATAAAGAAGTTTTATGGAATAAAAGGTAGTGAACACATTAACTAAATGCTTTGATTTTTTTCAGATCTAATATGGAAATTTGAAACGTGTTAGGAAAAACTGAGACGCAATAGAGTTAAGAGTTAAGATTTTAGGGGTGAGAACTGGATAATGTAAAAATTAATGTGTTTGTTTAGAGTCTTGTTTTATCCAGATTCAGCTAATGACAATAGCATTTACGAATTATCACCTTACATTTGCAAATTACGTAACAGATTGAATAATCCATATATCGATTTATGGTAATATTACTCGAGACAATAGTTCAAAAAATAGTTAAAAAAAAAAAAAAAATTTTTTTTTTTGTTTATACTTAGCCAAAGATTACAAAGATTATACAAAGATTACAAAGCAAAGATCATGATGTTTGAAAAAAGAATTAACATTGATTATACATTGTGAGATAATAGAAAACTGTCAACAAATAATCGAAGTAGAGAAGTTTTAGAGGTATTACAGGAATTATGTTTATTTATCACGATCTTGAAAAGTTAATCACTCTCGATGATTTGTAACAATGGTAATTAAATGGTAATTCATTATTTTTGCTTCGATTGTTATATTTGGAATGGACTCTTCTTTGTGACTCCTCGATTGTTAGTGATACAAATTGGGATTTATATTGTTTACTGTTCCATTTATGGCGTCAAAATATTACACTACATTCATCTTTAAATAACTTTAAGTAGGTACATATATACATATGTGGTAATTTAGAGTGCTGTCGTTCTTGTTTGGAAACATTGCTTTTATTGGCAATTAAGACTCAAGGCTGATTACCTTTTTTCTTAGTCATGGTGGATACACGATATAAATGAATTAGCTACGAATGTTAAAGATTGTTAACACTGCATAAATCAACATAAGTCAACATAAGTCAACATAAGTCAACATAAATCAACATAAATCAATAGTAAATTAATAATAAGTTAACAGGGATAATTTGAAAAATTCTCAGAATACCTAAATAGAAGCTTACCTTGTATGCTAAGAAAGTAAATATCATATTGGACAAAACGATTAAACATACTGATTCGCCGGTGAGCCATCCGGATCAAATACGAACAAATATGAGTTACGAACAAATATGAGTTGAATACGAATTAAATACGAATCGAATCTCAAATACGAATCGAATCGAATATAAAAAAAAAATACGAGTCGACGAATTGACAGTTGAAGATTCATTTTCATTTAATCCAATTAATCATCGCAAATTATCGCAATTTTAGTCGTACTGGATGTCTGAATGTTAAATCATCATTTAATAACAAAGCAATCGTTAATTGGTTATTCTAAAAAAAAGAATATAGTACACAGGATACATTGTAACATTTTTGATCATGGTGCATGTTTGGAGAACGACATATTCAAAAAGTTATCTGCAAGTTTTATTAATTTATATCATCATGGTTATAATTATATTCTATTGGTTTTTCATTTTTTATAAATATAGTATATATATAAATAAAAATTATTATTTACGTAGTAGATCAGTGGATCTGGTCAAGATAAACGTTTGCTGACGTACATGGCTGGAAAACTTTGGTCACATGAAGTGACAAGTGAAGCGAGTAGGCGTGACGCCTCAATTAATTCCCAGAATTGTGTAAATATAATAATAATACTAATATAATAATACTAATATAATAATAATAATAATAATAATAATAATAATAATAAAAATAATCAAATTTATATTATTATTGCTATTATGTATATATATTATTATTATGTATGATGTAAGTATGTACTGTATATACATATTATTGTATCATGTATATATAAAACTAAAACATCAATAAAAACTTACCTATATTCTTAATTATTATTATTAGGTATATTATTAACATTATAACATAACAGTATCTAATTATTAGCTTTTTTTAGCTAAAAATTTTAAATTTATTTTACAGTAATTACGTATATATATTAATGTAATTGAATTTGATAGGGATTAAAGTTAAAAAAAAAATAATGGAATCCAATAAATCCACATTAAAGTAACTAAAAAGTAACTAAAGTAACATTAAAGTAACATAAAGTAAATATTGATACGTACATAATTTTTGTTTTTTTTTAAGTTTACATCATTTGGTATTATGATATACATTATAATTACCTACTTCGTATCAATTCTCTCTTAATAAGGTATCATGAAAAAAAAAACCTGCATAAGAGATTTTAAGGTGCGATCCTAATCATGCAGGTTTGTTAGTCATTGACTCCCATTTCAGATAAATAAGGCGGGAAAGTGCCGACATAACTATTTCACTTAACCATATGTTAGGTCCGTTTTGCCAAAATGACAGCTTACGAAAAATGTTACAATTATTACGTTTTGTTAATTTTGTTACAGGTCAGCCGATATGTAATATTTGGTTTTTTTTTTGATAAACGGCGGATCTGTCCGTCCCACCATAAGTATGTTTCCCTAAATTTGGAAATTTCATTATTGGTCTTCTTTAGAAATATATTATCAATACAGCAATACATTTGATTTTTTATTTTAGCATTTATACTTTTTCAGAATAATCATTAAAAAAAGTCGTTAATCTGTTTCTGTCTTCTAACTTCTTTTTTTATTATCGGTTTTCATTATGACTTTGGTATTTTACTGCATCTGGTTATATTAATTTTTTGCAAATAATTATGTCTGGATGTGGTAATAAATTTTTTTGATGTCCATCCACATCCTTTATAATACGTTCTATTATTAGTAATTTTCTGAACGAATTATTGTGATTTCTATACGTACTGTATTTTGTACCGCGTTAGTCAAATATGTTCGGAATGCGTTGTAAATGGTATGATTATGTTTTGATTAAAAAATCGGTTGCATTTATTTATATCTATGATGCGTAATGCTATCAGACTAAGTAAAAACAATGTTATTAGACAAATCAGTATTTGTCTGTAAACCTGCATATGAATATGTGAACTTTTTTTACCTCGGCGTGTTGTTATGATTATCGTTTTGTAGTTATAGTTATCGTTATTATGGTTATACGGGTTTTTCTGAGTTTATTTTTATTTCAATCTCTTCACACAACAAGCACATGGGTACACCACCATTTATAGATTATGTTGTTATCTGCTTGCCTTTTCTGTGGTTTGCTGTATGCTGACCTACCCTACTGTAAGTATCTGTTGACTTGTTGGTTTTTTTTTTCGTTTCGGTTACGTATTTATGTATTGCTTTTGGGCATATGACGCACAAAAAGGTACTTGCTTGTGATGTTCATACTTTATATACCTTCTGCTTCTTTTAATTTCACTAGATTTCTATATAAACTCTCTGCTATCTATCAAGACCCCTTTTCTTCATCACCCGGTTTCCTTCGGTTCAATTTTTTTTTTTAAAAAGTGTTTCAAGTCCATCGACGAACAATTTGATCATTGATCGACGAGACGTATATATATAATAGTAATAAAAAAAAAAAATTTTTATTAAAAAAATTAAAAACAATTAACAGAATTACAAAAATAGGTGAGGATACAATGAAAATCAATTTTTATTAAAATAATACTACTACGGCAATCTAAGTAAAAAAGACGGATATTTATGGGCCGTTGACTAATATGTCCATACTTTTAGTTAAATTAATATCTTTAAATTTATCCTAATTAAGAATGGTAAAAAAAAAAAAATTATATATAAATACTACTTGAAACCGAGGACTGAAAAATGCGCCCAATGTTTCAAACTTTCCCTCCGTCTTAGACTTTCTGAATTATATATTCTTGAATTTCGTTTACTTTATTTATTTTTTTTTTTTTTTCTCTTTTATTATTATTTCTGGGCTGCCCGGGTCTCTCGTACTTCCTGTTGTGAAAAGGTTCTCAAACTTGTGTAATTTTAATTATAGCTCTATAAAGACCTTTTTGAAAAAAAAAAAATCGGACCTACGCGTCTTTGTATAAAATATTAGATTCGGCGATTAATTGTTTTTTTCGGTTCTGGTATTGTAAAAATTTTTTTTTTTTTTTTGGTCTAACCAAATTTATTCTATTTCGATTTATCATTGTTGTCAATTATCAATTTCGAATTCTTTCATCGAACACTAAAATTTTTGCATTTATTTAAATTTAAATTCCAACTCCCAAATGCATTATATCTTTTGATCAATAAGGGTTCCTTTTAACGACAATTTACGACTTATATCAGCTCTTTGATACGACAAGCAAATTTTCAACGAATCTATTTGGTATTATTTCAAGACGGACTAAACTAAAAAAAAAAAAAATTGAACTAGTAGTATTCTATACCGGAGAGACCCTATATATTATCAGTACCAGTTTAATTAATAGTAATAGTTAAAAAAAAAAAAAAAAATTCAAGAATTACGATGATGTGGAATCGAATCAAAAACATGTCAGTCAGTAGCTTACCAAAATCTGATGACACAAACAAAAGTAAAATTAGTATAATACCAAAGACTTTAAAAAAAGCTGTATCTATGGATTCGCTGCACAAAAAACCTTCAGGATACATAAAAAAAAGAAATATAAGCCTTGATGTAAATTTATCTGGTAGTGGCAATTGGTTTACAACGAATGATACAAATGATTCAAATGATCATAAGGTAACTAAACCATTCTAAGTTAATTTATATTTGTTAATCATATGGATAAATATATGATCTAAAAATATATTAATGAATTAATTAATTAATTAAAGTGTATATGGAAAAAAAATCGTTGATATATGTTCTAATTTTATCTTTTCATATATATTTCATATATTTCATTCACAAATGATAATTAGTTATCAAGTGAACGACCATCGTCAGATTTACCTGATGAAGCTTTTGTGGTTGCGTTGATCGGTAAACCATCGGTGGGAAAATCAACAATAGTTAGAACTGGTTTGAATAATTTGGCGCCAATAAGAAATGTTGGTGTGGAACAAAATATATTACATGGTAATTATATGATTAGATGATTTTTTATATAATTATATGATTTTAGTTTATGAATGATTTGTGTATTTTTGTCGATTCTCTTTTATTTATCATGTTAATTTATCATGTTGATTTATCATGCTAATTTATCATGTTATTCATAACGTATTCGTTTTTTTAGCTCCGACTCTTATAACAGAGATTGAAGTTGATGATCATGCTTATCCAGTGGAAGTTTTAGAAATTCAAGAAAATGTTTTTGATATGAAAGCTCCTTTACGATGGCCAAAGGTAATTACTTTTCCTCTATACATTTACTTTATATATCTATAGACTTAAATTTATCTACAACTTTACTTATTAATCATTTCTTACTCGTTTTTACACAGGAGCTTCCAGAGATCGACGGAATTTTAGTATGCTATGATGTAACATCACGGGCGTCAATAGCGAATATAGCGTGGCTTCTAAGTATGCATTCATCTTACTTGCTTTTATTTAATTTACTTACTCAATTACATATTACTCAATAACATCTTACTCAATAACATCTTACTCAATTTTATCATCGTTTAAAGATGCTTTTAAAGAATTCCAAATTCCCACGATACTTGTCGCTAACAAGGCAGATTGTGATCCTACAAAACGCCAAGTAGATACTGAATATGGTGTAAAATTGGCCCCGTTATTCGATGTCGGTTTTGTGGAATTAGATACAAGAACAAATAATGGAATACAAAGAATTCATAATGTTTTTTCGATGTTAATAAAATTATCGATAAGGCATCGTGAATTTATTAAGGGGCGTCATAATAGTCAAGAAATTAAATCGGATGATTTATCATCTGATTCTTTCTGTATACAAAGTATTGGTAGTGATGTTGATTCTGAAAAACTTTCAAGTCATAGGAGGACTTCTAGTGATTTAAGTCATGAATCAAGAGGGCGTGGGAGATTTTCTAATTTCTCCGCTGTTCGATATATGAAATCAAGATATCGCAGTAAATTTGGTTCTTCTAAGGGTGAATCAAGAAAATGTACGAATAATTTCAATAATTTTTTTTTTTTTTTATAATTTATAAATTTAAAAATAATCTAAATTTTATAAACTTTTGAAATTTTCTTAGCTCGTTCTCCTTTAAATAGAGCCAGTAGTGATGATGAAGGTTCATCTTCAACACGTTCAAATCATCGTTCATTATCACGTTCCCCATTTTCTTCTTCCCCATCTGTATCCGTAACACCGTCAAATACTCCTCCGAAATCATCTGTTCTGTCTCAAGTATCACTTCCCTCGTTTCCTATAATTAGTAGTAAATCCTCTCATTCGGATAGAAGCTCATACAGGCGATCTATTCTCCCTTCTTCAACTTTATTACAAGTAATGGAAGCTGAAGAAGAAAAAGATATTGTTATCGTAAGAACTGGTCATAGTAGAACATCGTGTGGGAGTTATGATTCTACTGCTAGTTCTGTGAGTGCATTAAGTGATAATTCTTGGGAGGGTTTTTTTGTTAATGATCCTTTGGGTCATAACAAATGTACTGGGTATGTTCATTATATATATATATTTATATATATTTTATTGTATCTGTCGCGCGATCAAAAAAATACTTTCTTTGCTAAATATGTTTTAATTAATTAATTAATTAACAGAAATCGTGGTGATGGATTGACCATAGATGAATTAATTCAAAGATTAACAGTTGGAGGCCAATATGGTACACATGGTAAGAAATCAATTAATTAATTAATAGTAAATAATGAATGAATTTTATTTATAATTTAATAAAATTTAACAAAATTTAATAATTTTACTCACTATTAAATTTTTTTTTTTTTTTTTATTTCTGGAATTTTAGATGATCCATTTACTATAACATTTTTTGTTGTTTATCGTGCATTCATGAGACCTCGGGATGTCCTTATTAAATTAATGAAAAGGTTAATATTTTTTATAATGTATTTTATATCATTTATTTTGATTTATTTTCTTTTATATATAAATACCTATCAACATTACTTTACAGATTCGATGAGTGTCAACAAGATTCGGGAGATAGGAGGAATAAGACACATGAGAAAATATGTAACCTATTATATCATTGGATAACACAACATCCACATGATCTTATTCATGCTCAAACGCGACAATTAATGCGTGAATTCTTTGAAATAATATCAAACTGTTCTCATCTTTCATATTATGCTATAATTCTTGATCCTTTGGTCAATGGAACTATACCAGAAGATGATCCTGACATGTTTTGGGGATTTGTGGACACTACAGATGAGAAACTCATCAAACATGATGTGGAACGTAAAAATATGATTACTAAAATAATTCCACATGCAAAGAAGGATAGTGGTTTTGGCGGTTGGACATATTTTGATAATCGTGATAATCATCAAACTGAATCTTCTAATTTATCATCCCTCTCGGTTCAACAAACTAATAATCGTACGAGCAGTCAGCCTCATCAAAAATCTTCGTTAATAATTGTCCCTGATAGCTCTATAGGAAGGCCTATGAGTCAATTAACTTTTGATGAGTTACCTGAAAAGGCGATCGCCAACGAGCTGACACACCAAGAATTTCAGTTATTTAAAAGAATTACTGTAAGAAATCTTAATTGGAATTTGTAACCTTTGTTTTCAATTTAAATAATGTGCTAATTTTTCGAAATTTATAGGGTAGAGATTTGTTAAGACATATTTGGACACCACAAGGAAGCATTCAACGTGGGAATGGACGTGTTGCAAAGTCTATTCAACATTTTAATTTTATTTCCAATTGGTATGTTAAAACCTAATCTAATTTTATATTCATAATTCATAAAATATATAGTGTAAGTGACTAATTTCAATTTTAACTTTAATCATTTTTAGGGTCTCAACAATGATACTATCACAAGAAAAATTGAAAAGTCGAGCGGCCATGCTCAAAAAGTTTATGAAAGTTGCAGTGGTACATAATTATTTTGTAATCTTTTTTTCATATTGTAATAAAAATTATTACGACCAATTTTTAATTCTTTTATTTTACTAATTTCTTGTTTTACAATTAGATCGTACGTGAATCAAATAATTACAATACATTAATGGCCATAATCGCTGCAATAAATTCTTCTCCTATTACGCGCCTTCGTAGAACACGTGAACTTTTAAAGGGCAAATCTTGTTATAAAAAGTTCCATAATTTGGAGGTTTTAATGTCCACTGATAAGTCGTTTGGAAATTATCGTATGGCGTTGAAAGCTCCGTCACGTGGACATGACGAACTGAAAGGAATACCTTATTTGTAAGTTGAAAATTTTAATTAATTAGTGAATTAATTAGTGCTATTTTTTTATTTTTTTTTGATATTCTAATTTTTAATTATTATTATTTATTATATGTATATATAGAGGTATTCATTTACAGGATTTGTTATCAATTGGAGAAGGTAATAGGAACTTTCAGGAAGATGGCAGAGTTCATTGGAACAAGTTTGCACTGATGGGCGACGTGCTCAATATGATTCGTAAATTTCAAAAGCCCTCATATAATATTAAAAGTAATATGCTTATTGAAAAGTTCATTGTCGATACTGCTATTATGAACGACGATGTATGTGTTTATTAAAAAAAATTCTTTTATTAATTTTTATTATTTGGAACTTTTCAATGCTAATCAAATTTATTGATTTTTCTTAGGAGTTATATAAAAAATCATTAGAACTTGAACCTCGCGTCCAAAGAGCTGCTAGTGAGAGTAGGGTTCGACGGTAGTTCCGCTCGATAACATTCAATTATATTTGCAATCGAAACAGAAAATGAAAAAAAATCATCCTGATTATATCGTTACCTCCTCTTTAACCACGTATAAATCCTTTAAGTGGTTTATGTTTATGGTTTTTATGAAAAACAAAAGACATTCCTTTTATCTTCTAAGAACTCAGTATTTTGCTTACTGAGTGAGCAAAAAAAGATTAATAATCCTGGTTCTTGGAAATTTTAATATTCTAATTCCATTACCAATTTACCGAACAATTCAATTTTTTTTTTTCATTTCAAGAAAGACATTGAATATTTTTTTATACGTAACACAATAACTGTACATATAATTTTTTTTCCTTTATTGGAAATTTTTTCTATTGAACATAGGTTTTCTAAGATTTAAGGTTAATTAAATAGTTTATACATTCTTTTTTTTTTAGTGAATTAGGTGAATTTATTTTTGTAATATATATTATACATTCTAGCTTTAATGGGAAAGTTGACGTAAAAAAAAAAAAGGGGAAAAAAGAAATATTCTTGAAAAATATTCTTAAGATTTTTTTTTTTAAACTAGGCAAGAAATATGTGTAAAAGTTTTTTTTTTTTTTTTTTTAGGATGAGATTTGTGGTGAAAATAAAGGCTATAATTTTTCGCCTTAATGTTGCTACCAAACATTATTAACAATCTTTCAATCTTTAGCAAATAAAATGATTGATTATTGGTGTATAATATACTGTATTTGGTGAAATTTTATTTGTTTTATGTAAATTTTACATTAATTTACATTAATTTACACCAATTTATTTACATTAATTTACATTAAAAAAAGTCCAAAAATGACGATTCTATATTTGGTCGGTGATGCAATTCTGCATTCGAATTAAATCCGAATCGGATATTTCTAGAATCGGACTCTTGAGTCCGTTATTTTCTATTTATAAATGATTGTCCATTTAATCCGACTATATCTATATACATTATATGCATGTACGTACGTACGTGCGTACTTATTTATGCGGCGAAAGACTTGTAGATTAGTTGATGCTGATTACCAATCGCAATTTAACCAGTAATGGAAAATTTGATTTTTTTTTTTTTTTTTTTACACAATAAGCATCTATTCATTTTAGCAGTATTTGTCGGATATAAACGGATAACTGATATCCTTCTTCTCCACTTTGTACCTTTTTTTTGTAGGCAAAATCCGTATATATCCGATGCGGATTACTTTTTTATTTTATACATTACCAATTGAGGATTTTTGTAGTAAAAAAATCGAAAATTGGAAACTTTTGAAAATCGGAAAATGATATACCGACATTATAAATTACAGTATATAATATTATATCATACCATTCTTACTACGCTTCAGGTGTAGTCTGTTGTTATTGAAAAGTTCTAAAGGTAGATTCGGAATTCCGTGATCTTTATCTAATCCATACTATGTTATTAATATACATATCGTACCTCAGATTAGAATAAGTGTAGGTTTAAAAATCAAGTTACGTAAAATTAAAATTTTTGATTCTGAGATTTCTGAGATGCGTCAGACTAATTTTATCATTTATGCGTCATACTAAAATACACATAATAAATGTCTGATAATATTTAATAATAAAGTAATAAATTAATAAAAATTTGATTCGCTTAAAATTTCTTTATATATATCACTCATGTATTCTAAATACTATGATGTATTCATTTATATCACGCAAAACTTTTGATAGTTATTTTAGTTCATCGTTTTATAAAATGTTTTAACCCTTTATTGATTCTTCTTACATTTTTTTATATACCTCACAACTATTAAAAGATTAACGATCAAAAAAATAATAGAATACCAAGTATTTACGAAGAATTGTAAAGGCCTATATGGCTAGTACAAATTAGAATACGAAATCAGATATTACGGTAGATCTATACCGATATGCCTATGCAAGATTTTAGATAAGTTGAAATATAATCAAACACTTAAATATTGTGCAGATGAATTGGAATCATTAGATACAATAGAATGTTCATAATTAGAACATCTTTCAACAGATTATGTATTTGCTAAAAAAGTTTCACAGGATCAAAATACTGGTGATATTCTTATGAAAAGTATGTGTAAGTGTAAAAATATTTATAATTCTAATAAATATTATTGCAAAAAAACATTTAGATTTGGATGTAAAAGTAAATATCATAATGAAAAAATGCAGTACTGAATTATAAGTTATTGATTTTAATTTAATGCATAATAAGATAATTTAATCTAATATATCTTAAAATCAAATTTTAATCTAATGCAATTTAAATTTAAACACAAATTTAAATTTCATATACAACATATATAATTAAAATTTAATAATTAATGTAAATATATTTTTTTTTAAGTTAAAGTTCCTATTTTCAAAATGTGATATTTTTATTCAAGTTTATAGGACACAGGTTGTCTTCATAAGCTCTCTTATATTAGAGGTTACAACTAGTTGCACATGTACTTTTGGTGTTTAATTTAAGTAGTACACTTATATATTATTATATAAATTTTATATTAGATGCTATACCTGCAAGCTAGCTAGGAGTTTTGCTTATTTAAATCTTCTGTATATACAATTCATCTTGTATTATAAGAATATCTTTAGAGTATTACTTATCTAAGTTCTTAATGTTTATCAGTATCTTAAAATTATTTTATTTTCAACAAAAGATTTACTAAAGCCTATTATATCTTACATATAACTGATTTAGTTTTATGCAATACATTATAGTTATCTAACATTTGCAGTCATAGAAGTTACTTGTTTAATTATTATATTACATTATTTCTATTTTTATAAAATTTACTAGAAGTTTAGTACCTATTTTCTTGATATCTTTTTTATTATTTCTTACTAATCACAATTCAAAACTAGTAGATTCTGATTAGATTATCAATCCAGATAGTTTAGTATAATATATTTCTGTATCTTTTTTATTTAGTAAATCTGGCAGCTTAGTTAATTATATGTTTTTCTATATATATTTAGTATTTAGTTTATTTGATCTGTTTTTATAAAGATATTTTATAATCTATAACTAGTCTGATAGTATTATTAAAAATTTATATTACTTTTTTATTCAAAAATTTCTAAGTAGGTTTTTGTTATTTTAGTTTTTTAGTTTTTTATACTTAGTAGTCTTATTATAGGTTTGTATTAAAGTTTTATATAATATTAGTTATTAATATTTTTTTATATCTATATAATATTATATTTCGAAAAACTCTCTTCACTGATTATCTAAACACAAAATTGACTAAAAGAGAAAATTAATTTTATGCAAAAGTGATCTTTTAAACTACTTTGGCTGAACTAAGTAAAAAAAAAGAGTATTCAAAAAAGATATAAAAGAGAAAAGAAATAGACAAACACAAATGATACAGCATAGAAAAGACAAAGAAAACTAAAAATTTCTTGAAGAAAACACTCAAAAATTTGAAAATTTGGTTTGTTTTAGGAAATTAGTATTAACCTGTTATCACAATCTGTTTTGATCACAAGGATATAAACAAACAAACAATTCAACCATGTGCAAAACAAACATATGTCTAATCCAGATAGAAAATATAAATATAACCAAAAAACATAACAGCAGTCTAATAACAACATATATAAATATAACCAAAAGACATAACAGCAGTCTAATAACAACATATATTAATAGAATATACTGGACTATCAATAGTATACAAAATAGTATTTTTATTAAACAAGCAGGCAAAATATATATGTTGCCTAGCAGAAAAGATAAAATTGTTACTATATTGACAAATTAGAATTCAGAAGAAGTTGCTCTATTAAGATTAACAAGAGAATTAATAGATAAAGCAGAAAAGAGTAACCAGAAAGAAAATTAAGTATAGTAGAACAAAACAATTATGCAATGATAATAGAACCCACTTTAGAACAAGATCAAGACAGACTTAAAAAGAAATGTCACCAAATTACAAAAATGAAAAGATACAAAAAATTAAACAAAATCAAACACTAAAGAAGAAACTAAAAGAAAAAAATCAATATAAAATAAGAGCCCAAGAAATTGACAAGATAATACAGCAAGAAGAGACAGCAAAAGTAAGTATTAGTAATAACAGTAAAATGAAAATAAGACAAATTCAATAAGAGCAAGAGAATTTATCTAGTCAAAAAAGAAATATAAGAAAACAAAAAGAAAAGCAAGAACAAAAAGACATTGAACTAGAACTCAAAAAAGAAATTGACATAATAGAAAAACCTCTCGAAGAGAACATATGAGCCCCAAGCAAGAGAAATTGTAACTAGAACAACAACTTACTCATAAATATACCAGCATACAATATATCAGAAAAGACAAAAGAAGAAGAACACATGAAATTTATTAGATGATCTTTAAGAAATAATATACATATCAAAGACATTAAAGAAGTCTTTAAAAGAGGAAACCTATAAGTAGAAGTTGACTTTAATTACAAGTATGACAGAAATAAAGCAATACAGAAAATTAGCAAAAAGAAAAATGATTGGTATAGAATAATACCAGAAGGAAAAGAAGATACTATAAAGAGACAGATGCAATATAAGAAGCAAAGTCTAAAGAGAAATAGCAGCAAATTAAGATCCAAAGAAGAAGAACTCAAATAGAAAAAAAATAAAATTAAGACAAATGAAAACTAACATGAAACAAATGAAGAATCAGAAAATATAAGTTTCCTAACAATTTAGAACTTATCTGCAGATATAAACAAAAGAGAACTGGAATATATCTGCAGAAGATTTAGAAAAGTCCATATAGTAAGAATTAAGAAATCCAAGTATAAAACATTAGTTGTAGTCAAGATAAAGAAAACATATAAAGATATCTCATAGGCTATACCAGTAAACAATAATAAACTAGTACAAGTAACTAAAAGAATAGAAGACTATGAAGCAAAAAAAGAACAAAAGAAATATACAACAAAACTAACAGAATTACCAGAAAGCATCTTAGAAGTCCTACTATTAT